TTCCAATAAAACTCTATTTATGAAAACAGCAGGCTCACATATGTGCACAGGTATAACATGCCAACGTCTGGCCTATAGTAATTGGCCTAAAAGCAATGCCCAAGAGGTTTATCAAGAAAAACATTTAAATTTTAAAAAGACCAGAATAAACGTCATAATTAGGATAACCTCAGCAGTGTAAAGAATATATTCATTTGTTTAACAAATATTCAGAGTACCATAGGCCAGGTGTTGTTTTGGGTACTCGGGATATAGCAGAGAACAAAACAAAGTAACTACCACCATGAATTTTGGTAGAGAAGTAGTGAGTAAATAATCTAATCATTTAGTAGCAAGTGCTATGAAAAAGATTAAACAAGATAAAGAGAGCATGGTGGGGAGTGAGTGTGCTACCTAATTTAGGACAGTCAGGAAAAACTTCTCGGACATGTTAGCAGAGACCAAAAAGAGGTGAAGGGAGCCTCCCTCACTGAATGCTGGGGAGGCAGTGTTCCAATCAAAGACATCGGTTCTTCCCCAAATTAATCTATACCTTTCTAATGAGATTCCAATAAAAATCCCTGTAGCAATGCTGAGAAACTAAAACTCTAAAACGAATATGAAAGAATAAAAGGCCTAGGATAGCACAGTCTATTTTGAAGGGAAAATAGAAGTAGGGATACCTGCCCTACTGGTAGAACTGGCTCTACCACAAAGCCACAGTAATAAAAAACACTGTGCTGCTGGCGCTGAAACAAAGAGAAAGACCAGTGGATAAAATGCAGAGCTTAGAAATAAAGTGTATACATGGGAACCTAATATGTGATAAAGGTGGCATCACAAAGCACAGAAAAGATCGTTATTCAGATGATGAAAGACAAACGAATTCACCATATGGAGGGAAAAAAGCTGGATTTTTACTCAATACTAGGTAAAAGGTGGACTCCAGATGGACTAAAGACCTAACCGTGAAAGTTACATAAAGCTAGTATAGGAACACCTATGTTACCGAGGAGTAAATGAAGACTTCCTAAACCAGACTCTAAACTGTAAGACCAAAGTTTAGGACCTCTGCTTAATTAATGACATCACAAAGTTAACAGGAAATTGACGGATGGGAGAAGGTAGTTGCAATGTTCAAAACAAACGAGGAATAGTATCTAGAAAACACACAATTCCTACAAACCAGCAGAAAGGCAATCCAGTAGGAAAAAATAGGCAAAGTATATAAATAGATGCCAGAGGAAAGTTATTTGCAGTGTTTAAAACTAACAAAGGATTCATGTCTACAATATACAAGATTCCTACAAATCAACAAGACCAGAAAGCAACTAGAAAAACAGGCAAAGTTTGTAGATACCTTAGTTTACATACTACATAGTCTATACAATATTTTATATAAAAAAGTATATGAAAAAAGGGCTCAAATTTAATCAGGGCTTAAAAAGGGCTCAAAATGCAAATCAAAACAACTAAGACCTCTGGGGGTGGCTGAAATGGATGAAAGGGATCAAGAGGTACAAATTTCCAGTTTAAAATAAGTCAGTCACAGGGATACAATGTACATCATGGGGGCTATAGTCAATATTACATTAATGCCCTGGCTGGGTGGCTCAGGTGGTTGGACCATTGTCCTGCACACTTAAAAAGAACGAAACGTTGTGGGTCTGATTCCTGGTCTGGGTACGTACCTAGATTGTGAGTTCAGTCTGTGGTCGGGGAACGTGTGTGTGGGGCCAACTGAACAATGTTTCCCTCTCACATTGATGTTTTTCTCTCTCGTCTTCTCTCTGAACTCAATAAAAATATCCTCAAGTGAGGATTTAAAAGTAAATAAATAATAAATTAAAATTAGTTCCAAAAATAATAATATATTACCTTTGTCTAATGACAGTGGGTTACTAGACCTCTGGTGATGACCATCATGCAATGTAGAGAAATTGTCTAATCGTGATGTTGTACTCCCAAAACCAATATAATATCGTATGTACTTCCATTAAAAACAAACAAAACAAGAACACCACTTTCCAACCACCAAACTGGCAACAATTAGAAAGACGGGTAACACCAAAGACTGGTGAGGAGGTGAATGAGTGGGTATGCACTGGCAATAGAAATGTAAATAGTACAGCCGTTCTCAAAAGTAATCTGGCAATATTTGGCAAAAATTGAACATGCCCATTGATACATGGCTCAGAGAAATATTCCCATCCATTTACAAATTTGCTTATTTTAGCATTTTTTTATGGTAACAGGTGAAGGCAATCCAGGCGAAGGTTTCGATCACCAAGTGACTGAATGAGTAAACCAGGTCAGACACACAGCAGCTGCGCGCCTGGGTTCGGGAGCTCGGCTGCCTGAGTTGAAATTCAGGCTCCACCACTTACTGGTTCTGACTCTGAAGAATGGAAGCAGGTAATTTTATTAACCAACGTCACCAATAAATTCAATTAAAAAGTGCAAGTAGAAGTTTGAGTTACCTCTGTGTGTCTCTCTCATTTGTAATATGGGACTTATAATATCTACCTCACATGGCAGTTGTGAGAAGTATGAGTTAAAACATTTAAAGCACTTGCCACAGAGTTAAAATTATTTAAGTGTTAATATTATTGTTACTATGAAAGCATATGCAAGTTGCAAGTTAGCATATCACAAAAGCAATGTTAGTTTTAAAAAGGAACATTTATAGCACAATATCACTTATGTGAACTGAACATATTCTTAGAACTCCAACACACTTTACAAGCCAGGCACCAAAGACATACAACAAACATATCAAAATAGGTGAGTATAGGATACAAGAAATGAGAACAGTTTAGGAATAAAGGGGAAGACTACAAAACAAGAAAGGGGCTTTTCCTGAATTATTTATGTTAACCTACTGTGAAAGGAGGAACACGATTTACCCACATAGGCAACCTGCAACAGAAGGGGGGAAAAAGCTAGGTTTCTTTAAAACATTCACAGAAAGCCAGAAAAGGATCCCAGAGCCAGAGAAACAACCAACTAACCAACTTGGCAGGCACCTCATCTTAGAACTTATTAGGTGAGATAATACTACTGGGTTGGCCAAAAAGCCTGGATGTTTTTTTTCCATAAAAGATACATTTTTCATGTTCACCAATAACTTTATTCATTTGGATATTATGAGTATGTTGGCTGTTTCCCACATGGTAGAATGTTGATTGTTCTCAATGTCTCAACTTGATCACTATCAACTTCAACGGGTCTACCCAACTGTTCAGCATCGTCCAGCGACAAATCCCCAGCATGGAACTTCACAAATCACTTTTAACACATTTGATTAATCACAGCACCCTCTCCATACCCTGTACTTTTTTTTTTTTGCATTTTAGTTTTTTACCTTTCTTGAAATAATAAAGCATTATATGCTAAAAATGTTGTGTATTTTCTTCCATCTTCAATATTAAAATGCCTATGCAAAAATTCACCAATTTTGATTTTTTTGAATGCACGCTGGTATGACACCTGTCACAATACAATCTAACAAAGTTGTTTTGAATGAATTTAAAGACAACTAAGCACTACTAGAGCCATGTTACATAAAGAACCAAACAAACCTTTTGGCTGACCCAATACAATCCCTACTGTTTAAGGCAGGGATAGGTTTTCTGTTACCTATAACCCAAAGTCTCCTAACAGATTATTCATATAACCTTTTGAGTGGCAAACTGAGGTATAAGAGGATTATGACTTATCCAAATGTAGCTCTCTTGGGGTGTTGTCTAAATGGAGGTTCCAAAAGAAAATGAAAGGTTTGAGTAACCTGTTTTTAGCAAGCCAAACTCTTTCCAGGGTAATAAAAAACCTTTTAAGTATCAAAATGATCAACATTCATCCAACTAAGAACTTAAAAAATCCATTAAAATCCCTGACTAGAATGGCTCAGTTGGTTGGGTGCTACCCCTCGAAAGGAAGGGTCGCTGGCTTGATTCCCAGTCAGGGCACCTGCCTGGGTTGTGGGTTCAGTCTGGGTCAGGGCATGTGTGAGAGGCAGCTGGTCTATGTTTCTGTCCCACATCCCACCTCTCTAAAAATAAATAAAATACTTTAAAAAAATCCATTAAAAGTCAAAGACAAATGGAAAAAATTGTATGAAAGCTCCTTATAAATTAACAAAGAAAAGATGGCCCTGGCCAGGTAGCTCAGTTGGTTGGAGCACCTTGCTGATGCGCCAGGGTTATGGGTTCAACTTCTGGTCTGGGTTCAAGCAGGAGTCAACCAGTAAATTGTGGAGAGGAGGAGCAACAAATCGATGTTTCTTTCTCTCCTTTCCTTTGAATCTCAAAATCAGTGGTTAAATTTTTTTTTTTAATTTGAAAAGATGCACAATGAAGAAAATGTCCAATAAAAAAATTTAAACCTGAGTACTTTGAAAATTAATCACTATTTATCATCAAATGGAAAAAACAAGCTTTCATGGTCACACCCAGTTTTGGCAGCCGGGTTAGAAACCTCATTTATAGCCGGTAGGAGAGAAAACCAGAACATTTCTGGAAGGCATTTGGCAACGCATGCCAGAATTCTTACAATCGTGCAAATACTACATCTGGTTTGATGCAGCAGTTTCCTAGAATGACCACGGATGTCAACCAAGATTTCATTAAAAGTACTAGCATTGCAGGATCATTTAGAAAAGCATGAGAAAGCCCACGGGATTAAACTAAAAATACCAAAGTAGGAGAACCAATTAAGTTATGGAAAATCCATTATGATGGGATACAAACAGCAATTCGAATTCAGTATTTCAACACCAGGTCTACTAATTAGTATCCATAGAGCTCAGGAAAAGCTGATGAATCCCCCTGTACTTCGGTTTCCCTGCTTATAAAATGGGTCTGTTGTGAAGATCAATGAGTACACCCGACACTTAGGGCAGCACTGACACGGGTAAGAACTCAATGTGTTTTGTTTTCACAGGACACTAGAGCCTACTGTCCTAGAAAAACGTTAATAATACATGAAACAAAAAAAGGTTATAAACCAGGATACACAGAATATTTGTTATGAAATAAGTATAGATCATATACACAGATTTACAAAAATGAAAACCAGGAGGATACATAACAAAGTAGAAATAGTACATTTCTTTGAATAATAGGATTACAGGTTATTTTTCTTTTGTATTTAAATTTCCAACAACAAACACATGCTATTTTTATGAGGTAAAAACTACCATCTCTACCAAAATCCAAACTAAAACCTGTCACTTTTTTTTTGTTCTAATTGGTAATGAATCCATCCCAAATTAGCAGAGTAATGGGGTAGTGTCAGAAATAGACATTTCCCTTCATAGCCTTTATTACCACACAATATGAGCTCCTTATTTCATAAACCTTATACACAAATGGCAAAACAATTAAGAGATTTTTCTTTCTAGAAGCTCATTTATCCCTATTTCCCCTTTTTGTGCAGAAGGATTAAGTAGATTCTCCGTTTTCCTGAGTCTTTAATTTAGAAAGGCTGTCACAAAAGTGAACTTGCCACATGAGGAAAAGAGAAAAGAACCAATTAAGTTTTTACTGTCCTCCTTCCTAAGGAAAGCAAGCCCAGCTGGCAGTGGTGAAATGGGGCATTTATAACGTCTTCTTTGTAACAGGTGAAGACAAGTCCCAACAGTGACAGATTATCTCGGTCACATGAGCCGTTTGGGGTCTATTTTTTCTAGGTGAACTAGAGGTTTCAGCTGCTCTGCAAAGTTCCTCATGTCATCAGAGACCATGTCCTGCCCAGCCGGTGCAACAACACTTAGTTCCACAAGGTAGGAGAGTGACAAGGCCTCAATGCTCTCTGTGTTCCCTGGCACCAGAATACGGTAGATCTTGTACACCATAATCTTCATGGGGCCCTTACGGAACAATTGTCCCTTGGCGACGAACTCATGGTCCATGCGGAAGCCCATTTCCATCAGGAAGTCGGTGAGGTTCTCAGATGTTGCAATGTCCACGCAGTTTCGCACCAGCGCATGGCGGTTCTTGTCTCCCACCTCAGGCTGTCCCAGGTAGCGCAGGTGCCACGGTGCTCCGGCCCTATCCACAGAGCGCCGGGCCCTTAGAACAAAGGGACTGGCCTGCTGGCCTTTAAGGAGGAATACCATCTCGTGATCAGAGAAAGTCTCGAGTTCCATGTTGTCACACAAGCCACGAAGGCGATGCGTGAGGCTTTCCAAGCTGTGATCTAAAACACTTCCTGAAGAAGGAAAAAGCACTATTGAGTCCCATCTTTCATTTTGGGTAATGAAATTAGTAAAAGACTGAAAAACCTTAAATGAACCAAGTGTATAATACATGAGATTTTAGGGAGCTTATCCTGTCAAGGTACTGCGTAACATTATGAGAAAGTTAAATCCCTTTTCAATGTTTTGCATTGTCTAATTTGGAACTAGAAAGTCTTCAGCCCTTCTCTCACGATGCTGACCTCCAGCAGGTGTGGCGTGCAGAACCTTTAATAGGCAACAGTATCTGGAATGTAGTATTACTGTTTTGTTGTCATTTGTTTTAAGAATGATCTTCTATTTCCAGCAAAGAAAAGTTTTCCATCTATAGAAGAAACACAATATTTCCTTTTGATGTAATATATATAAAAGAGACTGTACTGCTTCACAGAAATACACCAATCTTTGTTCTCATCTTATTCATCCTCCTGGCAGCATCTGACATAGTTGTCATAGATCACACCCATTTTTATTTTATTAGATTTTTATTTATTTTATTTTTAGAGAGAAAGGAAGGAGAAAGAGGGGGAGAAACATCAGTATGTGGCTGCCCCCTACTGGGGACCTGGCCTACAACCCAGGCATGTGCCCTGACTGGGAATCGAACCAGCAACCTTTTGGTTTGCAGGCCGGTACTCAATCCACTGAGCCACATTAGTCAGGGCTGAGGTTTTTTTCTTTTCTCTTTTTCTTTAAAGGGAAGGAGAGAGAGGGAGAAAAACATTGATGTGCAAGAGAAATATCAGTTGGCTACCTCTCCCACACTCCCAACCTGGGACCTGTCCTACAACACAGGAATGTGCCCTGACAGGGAATCGAACCCATTATCTTTCGGTTTGCAGGCCAGCACCCAATCCACGGAGCCACACCAGCCAGGGCTGAATTTTTAAACAATAAAACAATTTTGGCACTCTCCTTCTCAGGAGCACTCTGTGCCTTTCCCATCTCTCTCCTAAGCTCCAAGGACCCAATCTTTAGCCTCTGTAACTTGTTTCCTGAGCCCGTTCCTTCTACAGTTCACTTCTTCTACCTGTGACTTTCTCAATAAACTTTTCCTTACAGCTGAAAAAATAGTAATAAAACAAAAAATTTTTAATCCTTACCTGAGGACATGCCCACTGATTTTAGAGAGAGGGGAAAGGAGGAAGAGAAGGAGGGAAATATCAATGTGAGAGAGAAACATTGATGGTTTGCCTCTGGCACACACAGCTACCAGGGACTGAACCTGCAACCGAGCACCCCGACCAGTGTCCTGCAAAGCAAAAGGTTACCAGTTCAATTCCCAATCAGGGCCCACGCCCAGCTTGCAGGTTCAGGTTCGGTCTCAGTCTCAGAAGAAACAGACTGATGTTTCTTTCCCCCTCTTTCTCCCTCACTTCCCCTCTCTCTAAAAATAAAATCTTAAAAAAAAAAGATGACTAGCTGTTCTATAAGAGACATGATCAGAAGTGGAAACAATGTAAGAAGTTGCTAAAGTAGTTCAGTCAAGAGACACGAGAATGTGGTACTGCAGGTAAAGAAAAGACATATTTAAAATATATTTTGGAAGTAGAATGAATAGGACTCAGAGGTGGTCGGGATATGGGGTAATGTAAAAAAAATGGAGCTTGATCCCTGAATGGTTGGCTTGAACGACTGGTGAATGACAGTGGCGATTACTGAGATGAGAAAAGACTAAAGGATAGGCAGCTTAAGGAGTGAAAATTAATATCCCTGTTTTGTTCACTTGAAGTTACTAAATGAATGATCTGAATTAAAGCCTATGCCTTCCACTAAGCATTCTATGACCGCCTGAAATCATTACCCTCTCTGGGTCTTGGGTTTTCTTACCTGGGAAAGTTAGTTTATCTCTGTCTCCTGATCTATAAGATGGAGCTAAAAACAGTACCATAGAATTACCATATGATCCAGTAACCCCACTTCTAGGTATACATCCAAAAGAATTCAAAGCAGGATCTTGAAGAGATATTTGCATATCCATGTGGAACCAAGAAGTAGAGGCAACCAAATGTACATCGCCAGAAGAATGGATAGAGAAATATGGTTCATGGATATGGATTGTGGTGTGGTGATTGCTGGGGGGAAGAAGGGTATAAGGGGATTAGATGGTAATGGAAAAAAATACAATAAAAACTACATTTAAAAAAAAGAAATATGGTATGTGCATATAATGGAATATTACTTAGTCTTAAATAAAGAGATTCTGTCATATGTTACAATATTGATGAACCTGAAGTACATTAAACAAAGTGAAAAAAGCCAGTCCTAAAAAGACAAAAAAGTATGATTCCACACTTATGAGTTACTCATCTCAAGTGTCAAAATCAGAAACTGAAAGTAGAAAGGTGGTTGCCAAGGGCTGACAAAAGAAGGGGAATTACTGTTTAATAGGTACAGAGTTTCAGTTTTGCAAGATAAAAACGTTCTAGAGCTATACAACAATGTGACTGTATTTAACACTACTTTAAAATGCTGAAGATGGTAAATTTAATTTTATGTATTGGTGACCATAATTAAGAGTACAAAAAATTTTTTAAGTTGTTGTCCAGCCCTGGTTGGTGTGGGTCAGTGGATTGAGCCCCCATCTGCAGATGGAAAGGTTGCTGGTTTGATTCCCAGTCTTGGCACATGCCTGGGTTGTGGGCCAGGTCCCCAGTTGGGGGCATGTGCAAGAGGCAACCAATCAATGTTTCAGTCCCCCTCTCTCTCTCCCTCCTCCCCACCCTCTAAAAGCAAATAAATAAAATCTTTTTAAAAAAGTGGTTGTCTATTGGAAGCCAGAAATTATGCCATTGTATAACAGCCTCTCATCTCCACTGAAGCTGAACAGAAAACGGGAAAACGGGCAAAGATCCCTGGTTCACTTACCCTGCAGCAGGTATTCCATCATGTTAATGGTACCACCAGTGACAGGCATCATGGTGACGGGAGGTGCCTCCATAGTGTCTGATTAAGCTGAAGAACTTAGACTGGATTCAGAGTCCCCAATAAAGTAAAGTACAGGATACACCTGGAAAAGTTATTACATCAGAGAGGTGGAGACACCAAATCGGCTTGACAGCAAAAGAGTCATTCACTCACTGAAAACTTTTTGAGTAACTGCTATAGGCCAGTTTCAGAAACTGATGATACAAAAATAAAGGAGACGTGATAATGGAGTTACAATATATTCTCGTCTCAAGGTCTAAAACACCTCTAAAACTGTTCTGTGCGATCTTGAGGAAGTCATCAAACTTCTCACTCTGGGACTCTATCTTCCTTATAAAACGGGGCCAACGATATTAAAAAAAAACCCCAAGGTTTTAGCACTCAGATGACATAAAATTAACATGCAGAAGAACTGAATGGTGACTTAAGGGGCTTGTCCACTAATAAAGATATTGAGACTCGGAGAGGCAATCAGGGACACACAGCAAGACGGTGGCAGATGCTGCACCAGACAAAAATCTAGGCTTTCCGCCTCTCTGATAAAGCCTTTCAAAGCGAGCCAGGCGGAAGCGTGAAATTCTTTTATACCGGTTTATGTCTTCCTAAGCCAACATGGAGAACACGTGCCCACTTACACCAGAAACACACCTACACGCGTTCCTGCCTCTTCTCGCAGAGCGGAGTTATATCCACCCAAGCACCTCCAAGATTTTGAGAGACAACTATCACACACCTCTAAAGTTAAAAGCCCTGGTATCTGGTAACACTTACTCCTCCTTTTCCAGCTTCCGGCCAGAGCCGGACGTCGCGCAAACCGTCACTGAGGGGCCCCGCAACGTAAGGGTGCCGAGAGGGCTTAAAAATAGCTCTTTGCCCGGCAATCGGGAGCGCATGCGCAATGCTGCCTCAGGGAAGATGGCGGACTCCTTTGACGTGTGTTTCTGGGCGTTGGCGGCAGAGCGGGGTGGGGAGTTGACGTCATAGGCCGTTCTCCAGAAAAATATTTTTTTAAAAGTTCGGAGACCCAGAGATGTTTTTGTCTAGGAAACCTCTTGGACCTGATGGGGAAAAAGAGCCTGGGATAGGGAGCTGCAAAAAAAAAGAGATTGTTATAAAACACTTTTTGTTGGGTACCTGAAGGTGAAAATGAAAGACCCTCTTTACTGCTTAGAATAATGTTTCGAACAATTAGAGAGCTCAGCAATATGCGTAGTTTTTGTTCACTTTGCTGTGGATGTTTTGCTTCAATTTAAAAAAAGGGAGAGATCTGACTAGTGTGGCTCAATGGGTTGGACGCCGTCCTGTAAATGGCAATGCCCGGGATTGATTCTCCTTCTCACAAGCCGAAATTGCAGGTCTCCGGTTGGGGGCCTGCTAGAGGCAACCAATCTATGTTTCTCTTACACATCAGAGTCTCTCCCCTTCTCTCTTTTCTCCCTCCCTTCCCTTCTATATAAAAGTGAATAAGAATTAAGTCTTAAAAATAAAAATAAAAACCCAGGGAGAACCCCAGCTGTGTAGCTCACGCATCATCTCCATAGGCCAAGGTTATAGGTTCAATCCCTGGTCAGGGGCACAGACAAGAATCAACCAATGAATGCATAAATAAGTGGAACAACAAATTAATGTTTTTCTCTCTCTTGCTCTCAAGTCAATAATAAAAATCTAGGAGATAAGTAAATGCAAGGAATATTTATTGAACACTGCTTATCTGTCAAGCATGTAAGATGCAGACAAAGTGGGCACTAGAGTTAGGTGACTAAGGCACTTTACTGGAGAGAAAAATTTAAGCAACACCAAAAATGTCAGTAACTGAGATAAATAATATACATTACAAACTTAATACAAGAGAATACTTAATAAACAATATATCAAAAATTTAAAACTGATCTTCATAGCAGCCCTATGAGCCAAGTGTAATGATTACTAGAATTTTACAGATGGGAAAACGTAGGCAACAAAAACTTAAGTAACATGCAAGGGAGTGGATAGGCAGGGATATGGCTACCTGAGCTGCTGTCTTCAGAGCTCACCTCTTCACTACTGCACAAAACTGTCACTCCTAGCTCTAGTTCCCTCACTGTAACCTGTACTATTTTCCATGTATTCGTTTTTAAAAAGTGAACATTTTTTGAAAAACTATTGTGTCTTAGACATTTTTGTTAGTTGTTGGCTGTCTCTGCTCTCAAAAGAGATCTAGGCAAGATGTGGCGATCAGAGAAAGGAAACAGTTCCATGTGATTGAATCGATGATACATAAACGACTCAACTGCTTTGGAAGCAATCAGGACACTTGATCTACCTTGTGGGCATCAGAGAAGGATCCCCAGAAAAGGTAATTAATGCCCAAAGTAACTTGAAGGAAAGGTAGATAGATGTCAGCCAGATAAAGAAATGCAGAATGTGAATTCCAGGGAATGAAACAACATGTACAAAAGGTCATTGAATTAAATAGAATTAAGATATAGAAATTGACATTGGGAGAGGTAAGAAATGTCTGGAGAAGGGGTCAGTTCCAGATCCTGAAGGACTTTGCATGTCAGACTAAAGCACAGATACGGGCTTTAAAAAGACCCCTCTGGCTGAAATGTGAAGAAAAGCTTGGGAAAGGAGGCCCTATAGAAAAGAACAGTCGGGAACTTTGGCATAACTCCAGCTGAGAGATAATTGCAGAAGAAAAGACAGGTTTTAAAAATATAAAAGAGTAACCAGAAATAAAGACAGGGAGAGGGAGTCACACATATCTATATTCCTACCTTAGGTGACCACGGTAGGGCTCTTTTCTGTGCTAGGAAACAGTATAGGTGAGGCAGGAAAGATGAGTTCACACGTAGACACACTGAGCCTGAGGTTTTTATGGGAAAACCAAATGGCAATGTCGAGACCGAGTTCAAAGCAGAGAGAGCTGGGCTAGAGATATAAATTTCACTGTCAGAGCTTCACAGATGGTAGCTGAAAGCACAGGAATAAATGAGATCACCCTGAAAGAGTGCAGCATAGGAAGAGAAGATGGCTAAAAGCTGGACCTTGCAAATGACTCAGACGATTATTAGAGCTGCGCATCGACAAGACTTAGATGTGCCTCCTGATCAGCCTGGTGGTTCCCGATATTGGCAGAGTGACAAGCTCTTGGTGCAGTAATTAACCAGTGGAGGAGGTTGTAAAATTGCTGGGTGCTCTTTTCCTATAGACACTAACTTCAGAATGGAAAGTTCAGTGAATAATGAGTTCTTTAAGGCACCATAGTCTTCACTCAGATTTTAACCAGCAGTGTGAAATAGGGTTAAACGTTAAAAAAAAAAAAAAAAAAAAAGACAGGAAATGGGTGAACAATATGGTAAAATTTGGACAAGGCCTAGGAGTTACAGGGATGTTTCCCTGACGACATGAAGTCTGTAGCTTGGAATGGGGCTCATTCCTGTCCTCTGTCACTACCCAGCTGTGCAACCTTGGACAATTCACTTTCTCTCTCTCTCGGCTTCCTTTTTTTTTTTTTTTGTAAATTAGAGATTTGAAAAGTTTTCTAAGTCAGAGATTGCAAAAATAAAATGAGATGTATATGAAGCACTTAGCATAGTGCCTGGCTTAGTGTAAGCAATCAATAAATGGTAGCTATTATTATTAGTATTTGAGCAAGCACATGTGACTACGATATCTTCTCACCGGTTAGAGTCATGAGCTCCAGGAAAGCAGGGGCTGTTTTATTCACCGCAGTGTCCCCAGCTCCTCGAATGATGCCTGACATTGTATAGGCACTTGACAAATACTGTTTTTGTTGGGAAAATGATTGGTAGAGAGCAGAGGGAAGCAGAGGGGTTATTAAGTGATTTTCTTGGCCTCCTACACTTAGTTAGCACTGGATTTGGTGGTGGACCTAAGTCCTTACATTCCAGGCAGGAAGGCAGGGGACACTGTGCCTTTCCTCTAGGTATGTGCCACTCAGTATGGCAGCCACCAGCCATATGTGCTTACTGAACACTTGAAATGTGACTGGTTTAAATTGAGATTTTGTAGACTTATTATGAAAAAAAATGTGAAATATCCCAATAATTTTTATATTGATTACATGTCAAAATGATATTTTGGATATTTGGGGTTTAATAAAAAATATTCAATTTAATTTTACCTGTTTCTGGTCACTTTTTTTTTAATGTGGCTACTGGAATACTTAAAATTACATGTGTGGCTCACGATACTTTTCTATCGGACAGCAGTGCCATAGGATCTGGATTTAAAGGTGTGGATTTAGAGCCAGACAGATCTAGGCTCGAATCCTGGCCACTGCTAACTAGTCAAGCCGCTTCACTCCGCAGGCCTTTAGCAGGGTGCGCCGTGTGCTGTATGTTACAGGTAAGCCAGGAATCAGATATCAGGAGAATGGTTCAGGAACTGTGCAATGTTTTGGGACAGATCTGAGAAGGATGGAACATCTATCTCTCTTCAAGTACATAAAATTATGGCAAAGTCAACAAGGAGAGAGGAGAGGAGAGGAGTGCCTTACATGCAGTGGGCATCAGGTGCCAGCCACTTTATACATATTTATCTCACTGAAATCTCACAACAATGGGTACTTTAACTCACACAACAGATGAGGGAACAGCGGTTACTTGCTAATAAGTGGTAGAGTCAGGATTAAAACTCAGACCTGCCTGCCTTCAGAGACTTCACTTACTGTCTGAAGCTGCTCGCCCTCCGAAGAAAAATCTGACTTATTTTGTGTAGTTTCAGAGAACAGGACTAGAAATGCTGGGTGGGAATTACAGGAGACATTCCAGCTTCATTTAAGGAGCAACTTATCTCAGTGATGGTATCAGTAATGGAAAGGACTGCCTGGATGAAAAGTAAACCTCTGTCCAGGGAAAATATTAAAGCAGAGATTATGGTAGAAAGAATTCTTGCCTGGAGTAGAAAACTGAACTATTCCATTGTCTCAGTTCTTAGACATTATTCACTCTAAGTCACAGCATTTACTTAATAACAGAGTTTCAGACAATTGAGAAACACCTCCATATATATACATACATGTGTATTATAAGACAAAGCCTAATAAACATGGGACAAAGTACATGTTGGAGTTGAAAAAATATGGTAGTTGCACCTTATGATTTCATAATTCATAGAGATACCTTGCCTTAGTAATTCTCCACCTTTGGATTTTTTTTCCTATTATGAAAACAGTAGCATCGTTATTCATAGTAATCACCAAGAGCAAACACCCAATGACAAATAACAAATGATACAATTCTTACTCTTAAGGAGTTTGGTTTGCTGAGAGACAGGTAAGACATCCCAGGTTACTTGTGCCTAGTAGTCTTCAATGGCTGCTGACTCAAGAGTTTGCCTCCCTGCCTCTGGGTGACAGGCCGTATCAGTCATTTCATCCTCTTATTAATCTTAAGGCGGGGACCTAAGAAAGTCTGTTTGCTGCAGAAGGGTAATCGACCTATTTACTTGCTCCTTTCCACTTAGCCCAGAGAACCCAGCCCCAGCCTCTGGCTGACCAGGTGTTGAGGTGCCCCAAGGGGAATAGGCTATAATAGTTAATGTATTACACATATCCATAAAAGATTAACAATTAGCTCTGTTTTAGCTGAACTGTAACTGTCTGTTTGGGTTTTTCCCCTCCCGGGTCTGTCTGAGGACCTGAGGACGTCAGCTCTGTTTTCTGTCTGAAGATAATTAACCCATGAATTTCCTAAACGGAGACCCTTTGACAGCTCCCCTTCAGTGTGCATGTACTGGGTACCAAAATAGCCCTGCGGTAAGCAGTTTCTGGGAATCTGGATCATAAGTTTACTCCTCATACCAGACTTCTGAAGCATGTGGTATTCTTTTAGTCTCATAGATGCAAGAATTTTGTCTGTCACTCAGTATCTTTGGAAGTAGAAAGGTTTGTTTCTGGACCCTTTCATCATCATTAGCCCCTTTCTTGGGCCATCGTCTGCACTGTCGACTCAGACATTTCCAGGGGGAGACTCTTTGTATGGCCCATAGAAGAAGACCAAAGAGACTCGGTGGAGAAGCAGGAGGGCACAGTTTAACATGCTGGTGTCCAGTGTTTAAGATGGGCCATGGAGGCAGGCTGATTGGGTTAAGGTTCTATCACTGTCTAGCCATGTAAGTGTGGGCAAGTTACTTCGCATCTGTTAATCTCATGTTCTCATCACTGATGCAGAGAATAGTACTTCCCTCATAAGGTTGTTATGAGGATCTGACTGATACACTCTGTGCATAGCAAGTATCAATGAAAATTCAAGCTATTCCCAATATTGGGGGATTTGGACTCTACTAAATATGGGTTAAAAACAAACAAACAACTCTGGCTGGTGTGGCTTGGTTGTTGAGTGCTGGCCTGCAAATCAAAAGTTTGCTGGTTCCATTCCCAGTCAGGGCACATGCCTGGGTTGCGGGCCAGGTCCCCAGTAGGGGGCGTGCAAGAGGCAACCACACATCGATATGTCTCTCCCTCTTTCTCCCTCCCTCACCTTCTTTAAAAAATAAATTTAAAAAATTTAAAAAGACAAAAAAAAGAACAAACAAACAGTGATGGGTCATGTCTGGACTCAGCTACATACTGGTTGGTGTGTGGCCTTGATCTAGTCACTTGATGTCCTCAAGTCTGTTTCTCACTATGTAAAACAGGAAGGGTTTCTACTTAACAGAAATGCTGTGAAGAGCATAGATGATATACACAAAGTGTTTAGCATTAGTAGTTGTTTTTAGACACTGCCTTCAAGTAGCTTGGTTGAAGAGGCAGGTCATAAACATTAAAGAGAGAACTAAGGAAAAGAAAGTTTTAAGGAGAAGTGGCATGTCTTTATATGAACACAGCAAGGCAAACTGTGGAATACAACTCAGTGAACACTTATTGTGTGCCCACTGTAGTCCAGCTGTTGTTCTGAGCTCTTGGACTCTGAGAATAATCAACAGCCTAAATCCCTCCCTTGACAGATCCTATAATTAGTAATAAAATGTTATATAGCATTGGAAATGGTTACAAAAGAAATAATGTGAAAAATACTTACAGTGTCAACTAAAAAAGCCAGTTACAAAGTCATACATGCAAGATGATTTTAACTACATAGAGTCTTCAAAACATCTGAGCACAGAGACAGAAAGCAAAACATTATAATGCTAATAATAATGGTCTTTGGTTAATAAGGCCAGATATTATTTTTCCTCCACTTGTCTCTGTTTTCCAAATTTTTGATGAGCATGTGTTATTTTTTTTAAAATTAAAACAAATCAAATGTCCATTTACAGGTAAATGGATAAACAAATTATAATATATTTGTACAATGGATTATTACTCAGCAATAAAAAAGAACAAGCTAATAATATATGCAACAAGCTAGGTGAAGCTTACATTCTTAGTGAAAGAAGACAGACACAGAAGAATATATAATTTGTGACCCCATTTATATCATGTTCTGAAGCAGACAGAACTGACCTGTAGGGAAAGCACCCAGAGCTCTGCGTGCCTGGAGTGAGGAACGGGAAGAATTGATTGCAAAGGGACACAGGGAGCTTGTTGGGGAGATAGAAATAGTCTATATTTTGGTTGTAGTGGTGGTTATTCAGGTGTGTATTTGTCAAAACTCATAAGCTGTACATTTAAATCGGTGCATTTTAATTGTATGTAAATGAAGTTGATTGAAATAATGAAAAAATTATAATTGTTTTCTGGTTACAAGAGCATTACATGCTCGTTGTAAGAAATTCTTAAATTTTAGAAAAAAATTCTAATATTTAGGAAAAAATTAGTTTATCCATTCTGAAAAATCGGGAAGTCACTCTAAGCACAGCGCTTGGTACACAGGAAGCATCGGTAAACCGTGAAGCAGAGTGAGGGAGAGAATTAGCTGCGTTAGGAAGCAGAGAAGAGTGGATAGAGTGGGACACCAGAATCTGTAAGTCTAAGAGGAGCCCTGCTGGAGGGTGAGGCTGTCAGGAGTGACAGGACAGGTATGTGACCCCTATGGGACCCCAACAGGTGAGAAAGAAGTGAGAACAAAGGCCAGAGTAGGGGAACTAATAAGGAATTGTGTTTGATGGTCTCTTCTGCTTGTTCTTAGGGTTCTCTCTTCCCATTTCACTGGGAAAAGAGTGAGAATGTGGCATGACAAAAATCATAGTGGCAGAGAAAAGTAGAGAACAGATGAAGAAGGAAATGGACATAGGGCCCTCGGTAATGACCGAGTCATCCATGGAGCTAATTCCCACCATTGCTGTCTTTCCTGCTTGGCCCAAGTATCACTGACTGATCCCACCTATTTGTCCTTGTGAATAGAACTATATCAGTAAGCAATTATGCACCAAAAACCCACAGAAAGTCCCATCTTGGCATAATTTGCAGATGCAGTAATGGTTGAAGACTTAGAACCCAGCTTCCACCATAGTGGGGAAAACAGAACTAATAATAGCTCTTAATAGTGCACATGTACACAGCACTCTACAGTTCACCCAGTACTTTTCATTTATTTCAGCCCTTTCTCCCACCATCGGGGGAAGTAAGAGAGAAGAGGAGGGGTAACATGGTACAGGATAAAGAGGCAGACACACTTCTTCTAGGCTGCGGTACCAGCTCCATCTCCTATGATGAACCAGATGACCTCAAGCGGTGACATCCTCCCTTATGGCCATTATGAAGATAAGAGGAAGTGTGTATGACACACCTGCACAGTGGAATGTTCTGCAGCTGTGTGGCTGGGGTCCCAGTCATCCCAATTTTATGGATGTCAACATGGCTCAGTGCAAGTCATGAAAAAACTGAGCTGGAGCTGAGACTTTCTGAGAAATCTCCAAGTTAGAAGAATTCTTCATCACTGTTGTCTGCTCTTCACTCAGGAGAAGCAGGAATGGGCTGTGTAGGGAATAGAGACCATGCCTAATGGGTGACTTAGGGAAAGACCTGACGTGAAATTACAGGATCATGAACTTAAAAGTGAGCCCTCAGCCTTAGTCTAGCTCCTTCTCCTCCACCCCATAGAATGTATGGGGAAACCAAGGCCCAGGGAGCAGAAGGAACTTACCTAAATGACTCAGCATAGAGTGGAAAGCCCTGAACAGAATTTTTCTTGCTATTTCCTTCTGTACCCAAGCTCTTTAATCACACAGACCTGGTGTAGATTCCTGACCCTGCACCAACTAGCTGATGTGACATCTCTGATACTCAGGATCTGCGTTTGTAAAATGAAATAATTGCATCTACCTCACTGGTTTGCTGTAACTATTAAATTACCTAGTGCATATAGAGGGCACAATGGTTTAAATGTATATACATTTCCCATCTTACAGACAAGGAACTGAGACTTGTTGAAACTTCCCTTGGTTCAAGATTGTACCTAAGGCCAAAAAGAGAGCCCAGAAAAAGTTGGAGGAACCTCTGGGTAAGAACTGGGTGGGCACAGGACAAGCCAAGCTCACCCTAAATCTGTCGCTGGGAGCCACCCAGAAGCTCAGGAAGACACTAGCCACAGTGACCTTCCCTGCCTCTGCCACCTCAGTGCACAAACAGGTTGTGAAACACCCTCGCAGTGACTCAGCCTGGGGGCCTGTTCTGCTGGTCAGCGAGGGCAGGCCGGGGCTGTTTGGATGAGCCTTGAAAGGACATTATGTCTAACAAACACATTGCTTGTCAAAGACCCAACTGGGGTACCAAGTACAGACTGTGGACTCTGGTTCCTAAGGCGTCACAGATGACTGAACTGGGGTGCCTAAGTTGTATATATCTCTTGGTTGTTATTCCAGTCTAAAAACTGTCCAAGGTCAATGTCAGAAACAGGGCAATGTGTTAGAGACTGGGGAACTCCTATTTCTCAAGAGGCTGCTTGATATGGTGACCAGGGCCTGGACTTTTGGTGTCCACATTACGCAGACCTGGGTTCAGATCCTGGCTCTGCTGCTTATTGTACTTGCAACCTTAGGCAGATAGCTCACCTGGATGAATTTCAGTTTCCTTATTGTATAAAATGCCCACCTTGCACAATTGTCTTGGACATAAAAGATGTAAATTTCACAGAACATAGAAAACTCTTCATAAACTGTCATGAGGATCCTGTGCTAATATCTTCCACTTTTTCCACTCCAGATTGAAATTGCACCTCCCTAGCTAAGGATTGCAGTGGCAATTTTGCACTCGTGGAAGCAACTAATACAGCCCTGGCCAGTGGTTCAGTTGGTTGCAGCATTGTCCCATACACCAAAAGTCTGTGGGTTCAATCCCCGGTCAGGGCACATACCTTGGTTGCAGGTTTGATCCCTGTTCAGAGCATGTATGGGAGGCAACCAACTGATGTTTCTCTCTCCCATCAATGTTTGGCTCTCTTTCTCCTCCTTTCCTCTCTCTTTAAAATTAATAAACATATCCTCAGGTGAGTGTTAGAAAAAAAATCCCTACCTCTGTACTCAAGAGTTTAATACTTTCTTAAAAACTAAATATGCAACTACCATACAAGCCAGCAATTGCAAACCGGTACGTT